GTGATAACAACTTTCTTCGTTTGTTACAATTTTTTCAGAAAACTTTATATTATATTTAATTATGAGACCGTATGTATTTTAGAATATTATAGGGCGTTTTGACGCCTACAAGAACCGGAGGTTAAAAAATATCGGTTTAAGGCTGTTAAGTATATTGTCTTATTTCAAGCGTTTCACGTTAACTAGAGTACGCATCAAATTTCAGCTTCGACTCTAGATAAGACAAATACAGAAACTAAACGCACTGGTGTGATAGATACGAACGGCAATAAGATAACTGAACTTCGTCCTTTCTTACGCTGTAGGCCCAGTTTCATCCTCAACTGAATCTCTCGCGGCAATTTAACCAGCCATCCTGATTAACGTTATTCCTAAGCGTTCTAAGACGCCGTGTTTTCAGTTTAGAAAGGAAAAACTGCATTGTACCCTAATTATTCATGTGGATAGTACGCTTATGTCACTTTCAGTGTTTTTAAAATTCTTTGTATAGTTTAATAGATTTCCTTTTTCTGCCATCGCAAAACATCTCTGCACGAAATAGCATCTGCTTCCTCCTTAAGCCGGCATACAAAACTTAACGCTATATTTTAGTAGACTGGGAAATTCAATATTTCCCCGTCTACTAAATTTCTCCCTGTAATAATATAAAATCGGGTTGAAATTAAGATAGCAGCAAAACTGATTTTACCCCAGTTTCAAACATTTTAGTTCACGATAATTTTTCATTACAGTGCAAAATAACAATTCTGGGTACTTTTCCATTTCGCCGGCGCTAATCTCGCCAAGCAGACTTTATTGGCGAAAACACATTGTATACACATAAAAATGTTGACAAATGTTAGTTCTAAGAATTTTTTATTTTGAAGGTATAAACATTTTAATGTCGCTTAAAATTTTGTAAAAAAGCCAATAAAGACAATAAATTTGTAAAAAGGCATTAAAAATTTACTATGCTTTCATCGTACACCATCCTGACTCGCCGGTTCATATCACGTGACCCCAAGTGATCTCATCTCTCGTAAACTACTCTACAAAAATCTAATTCTCTCGGTAATTATCTAAATTTCCAGTTAAATCTTAATTTGGAATACAAGTTTAAATGCAAGAATTATTTCGATTCGTATTAATAGCTTACTCAGAAATTATGCAAAACCGCAGTGCTGTACTTCGCTAGTGCATTCTCATTTAAATTGACGAATTTAACCCTTGATTTTGCCTTTTCTATATTTTCGCCATCGGGTGAGCGGTGAGATTGTATCCTAATTTACTTAATTACCGCCCGCGAATGGCTTTAGGGCCTAAAAGTGAACTATCTGGTAAAAAAATCTATGTAATTTTATGCCAGTATTGAAAGAAACAATCTGATAAGAAATGGCTGCGATTTGTTTTGAAAATGTAAAAGTAAAAGGTTACCAGCAAGGATATTTCGTTTGTACAATTACTGGCGACTTTATCGCTTGCGCCGGCAAAACGGAAAAGTATCCAATTCTGCATAACTGAATGATTTAACGACCTTTTGTCCCATAAACAAACCCAAAGCATATTAAAAATTTTCCGAATTCATGTATAAACGATTTTGTATCCAGCCCCTTTTATCCGTTATCAAATTTTGCTATTTAAGTTGGAAAAAAGAGGCATTTTTATTCTTTAATAACCTAGATCATGCTCCCAAACGTGTACCCAGTAAAGTGTTCATTTCATCTTTTAAGTTTTAAAAATGAATGCAAATACTTCCAGTTAGTAAAACAACCTCCTGTATTAATATAAGTAATAAGCTTGTTATTTCGACTTGAAGCTGTTCGGTGGAGGGGGATTAAGTACAGGGGCTTCTCATCACCAATTGCAATAAAACATTAAGGGCACGTGAGTTCTTTGTTTCGGAATTTTTCATATCTGTCGTAGTGGGACCTACCCAGTTCAAAAATTCGAGTCCAAAGTTTGATTTTACATTTATTATTCGTGTTTATCAAAAACAGAATCATCGTAAGTTTATTTTGATTTTTGTGTCGTTTATCGAAATACTGTTACATTACTATTAAACCTTTCTCAAAACTTGTATAGTGACCTAATATTAATAGTTCTTCGGTTAGACATTTTTAGTCCTATTTACCTTCCAGTTTTTTTGTTGAAATATCCTCACTTGGTGATTATTTGTGTTATATAGTTCACCTTTTAAGATCTTCTGCTGTAGAACTCTAGCTTTTAGCTATTCTTTTAATATACTTTTATCCTTAAATGGGACAACTATCTGAATTCGCAATTGGTTTCCACACGAATTCACAACATTCAAGTTTCATTCAATATTTAATTAATCTTTAGTACTGGACTCTAATTTTAAGTAGTAACAGACACTGGTGTAATCAGCCCTCCTGAACATTGTTAGAAAAGATCTCGGTAAGCGGGCTGGCTGCTTGGATCGTATCGCGGTTATTCGATGTGACATGAAAATGAGCCAACTGTCTTAGAAGGAGTCTAAAAATCTGATGGTATGGGGCTGCATGTCGGGTGTAGATATCTGCAATCTTTTTCATTCATGGGATAGTGGACCAACACATCTATTTGAATATCTCTAAAAGCAACATAGCGCCAGTAAGCTTCATTTATGCAACAACTCCTGCTTCCAATCTGACAATGATGCCATATATACGGCACATCGTCCGTCGTTAGTTTTCTATCATAAGCTCCAAGCTGTCATTCAGCTCAAACCTTTGTCTTAAATTTACGGAAAGAACTTTACAAAAAAGTAAAGAAACAGGATATCTACTTAATGTATAAAACGCCGCATTTTAAAAGGCGTTTAGATGAAGGTAACAATGTTTCCAGAAATAACTTAAAAAGAAGTGAATTCTATGCGAATGGCTCAAGGCTGTTACCTAAGACCGATTACCACGAAGTGCTGATCATATTTTTCATTACTTCCATTTTGTCATTAATTTTGATGGTCTGAAATGTTCTTTTTATTAATTTGAATTTAAAGTTGACTTCTACAGCAATCTTTATAATATACTAAAGATTATGTAAATGTTTTGACAAAAGCGAGTTTTAAAAATTCCCCCCATTTTCAGAAAATACAATAGTGCCTTGTTACTTATGCCTATCACTGTATTTCAGACTCGTACTTGAATCATAAGGCCAAAAATATATTACGCAGAAGGAAGACTACGCTCATTTTAAAATTCTACAGTTGGCACTAGAATACTAACAGATTTGAGCTGAAGCTGGCTAACATAAAAACTATGCACTAAAAACGATTGACTTTTAGTGCGCTGTAAGTTAAATCCTTCCTTCATTATTTTAAAAGGCCCACTAGCGGCCGAGTGGTAAAGTCGCTGAACACTGGTAGTTCGGTCTGAGGTTCGAATCCCGCGAACGGGCTGGCTGCATGGGCGCTTTCGTGGTTTTCCCCATGTGTAACGTGTATACGAGCCAGTTTCCCTTAGAAAGTCCTCCCCGAAGGCATCCCTCCCCTTAGGCAGATAGCCCTCGAGGTTTTGCCCTAATAACACACACACACATTATTTTAAAAGTAGAAAACATAATTTATCACACTTTTGAAAGCAAGTATAAGTCAGTTAAAATATCCAAAATTCTATAAATCTGCGAATACATGTCAAGCAAATGAAGCTAGAAATTATATGTATAATTATATGTATAATTTCTAGCTTCCATGTAATATACAGTACTTTGTTCTACTTCAGAAAGATTTCAAAATATTTAGTATTTTATGCTGATTCGGCATAATTTAATATAAAATTAATTTTACGTTATATTGAATTTTGAATAAAATTTTGGTAAATATTAACTATCTGAAATTTCTGACTATTAAAGCAAACTAATTTCTTATTTAAGCTTCCATTTCAGTATCATGAGTTATATAATTATTACCTTTGCATCTAGGGAAAGGAATGTTTATTTAAACTAAAATATTCAGGTCTATCATCCTTGAGGCATGCACTATAGAGGACAGGGAAGGAATCTATATCTTCCATGAACGTCAGATGTGGCAAGTCATATTCAAGATTTCACTTATGCAAAATGTTGGATTTTATTTCTTTACTTCTCGAAACAGAAGTTCTGTTTTCTAACTACTCGAAACAAATTTCTGCTGCCGGTTTGTTGATATTAATTTCACCCATAACACTGTCTTACATCGTATATTTAGTTACATTGAGCTGTCATGTCTGAGTGACTAGTTTAATCTCCAGTTTACTTTTATAGCAAATAGTTTAATACTTACGAAAGAACAGAAATCGCGGATTAAACGAACAGTCCTACATATTTTTAGTTATTCAAAGCGATTATTGATTTCCCAAACAGCTCAATTTATACTGTTACGCTTGTAAAAAAGACTCCCTGAAATTATTGTGGCTTATCTCACTTGCTTGAATCAGAACAAGTCCACGAATATTATAATGACAGGTAGCGCAAAACAGCGTTTGTCGTTCGCATGGGCCTTGGTCACCATCTAGGTGACTTTTGCCTAGTTCAGACCCAATTTTGGTTATGTTCTACCTTGATTTGTTTCCATACGAACAGGTTGGCCGCTTGGCCGCTTTTTCATGGTTATTCCTATATTAACATGGACATGAGAAAATTTCTCTTAAAAAATACTTCACGAAGGCATCCCGCCCCCTTAGGCAGATAGCTCGCGCATGCTTTGCTATAGTCAAAACTAAACCCAACATTGATAGAAAGCACCCCGAGTCCAAGTGTTTCCTATTCCTCTTCCCTTATCACCAAATCACTCGACAGGGCTTTTGACTTGCTGCGAATTTTGACCGCGCCGCACAGACATCCACACTTTCTCCGGGATTTGAATTTCAGACGATGGAGCAATCAAGAGCACTAACCACACTTCTGATTACGACGGCTCCATGAAAATAATTTCCCGCTATTGCAGAAATTGCTAATACTAAACAAATACTAAATTCCTTGATGATTATTGAGATTCACTTTTCTATTTTCCAATAGATAATTTTAATTATTTCTTTGTCTTTCAGGATATGGATACAAGCATTTTAAACTCAAGTCAAAGTGCTGACCAGTCAAAAAAGTGCATAAATCCTCAGAACGAAACGCACTGTGAACAAAAATTAGAGCCGAACGACAATAAATCTACTGAAAATAAGCTCAACTCTGAACTACCTGATTACTGTAGTGTAAAACGCAATGAAATTAATTTAAATACTGCGTCAAATGGCATATGGTTAAAAGTGGCCTTCCTAATAAGCCCAATGAACTTTTTGACTTTCTTGGTGAATACATACCATTCCAATGTTACGAGAGGTTTGCAGTTTTTGTCTTCTCAAGTAACAGATAACGAAGGAAAAGGAAACAAATTTAGCATACGAAATATCAAATCGCAGAGTTTTTCAGATGACAAAAGTTCTGTTAAAAGCTACCCATCATATGAAAATGCGACAAATTCTATTGTATCTGCAGAAAATAATCCTCATAATGAAACGCAGGATAGTGGATTTTACAGTCCATCCGCTTTAGACAAATTCCCTTCCATAGATTGGAGAATCAAAAAATGTTTCGATTGGCTTAAAAGTTTGCCTAATGAAATGCCAGACTCAAGTCATGAAATAAACTTTTATAGTAAATCTGCCACTACTATAACTCGCGAACTGCGAAAAAGCTTGAGAAGTCGTTATGCAAGCCCCTGTAAAAAATGTATGGAGAGCTATTCTTTAGATGTTTCTTCGATTTACTATTTCAAACCGGATTTAAAGTTCACAGAAGTAAAGTCGCAAAACGGTGTAGACTGTACCAACTATCTTCAAGTGAAATGTAAACACAAGTCATGGCTTGTACCTACATCACGAGATGAATGTGAGAATATTTGCGAACTTTCAAGCATGATGAAGGCAAAGAATTTCAAACTTATTTTTCCTAGTAAAAGTGTTTCTAAAAGTAATCGAAAAGATGCATTAGTTTACAAGTCTTTTGATGAGAAAAGCATCGTACGCGAATCGGTATTCGAAAAAATATTTGAAGGTGAGCATTTCTATAGTAAAGCATGTCCTGGTTTTGACTGCACTTTAACAAATGGTGAGAACTTTACTGGCAATGATGATCGTATATCTAAACACACGATTAAGAATATGTCCCAGCAAAGTAACTTGAGTGAAATCCTGGAAAACAGTCTGGATATTAAAACTGGAAAGAACAAAGCTTTGCTTTATCATGGAAAATTAAAATACAAAGCCTCAGCTGAAATATTCAACATATTATTCAGAATTCCTAAGATATCAACTTTTCCAACTAAATACAAAATCGAAAGTCCGCAAAAATTAGTGACACTGTGTTACCGGCATCTACAAAAACATCAAACTAGTTCTTATAACGATGAAATATCTTTTACAGGGAAGAAATTAAATTTTATTAAAAATTCCAGTGCAGATTCTCTTTCACACTTCAAAATCAAGGCATTTGAAATTGAACATCCGCTTGCCGAATGGGTTAATTTTCTAAAACTAATTCGATGCTCGCGAATAGATCCGAAAGAATGCCGTAGCCCCATGTATCCCAACTATTCATCAAAATACCGTTTAGACCTAATCCCTGAAATATTTATTAGAATTGAGCAGTACAGGAAGAAATCCAAAAGAATTTCAAAAGGCAGCCTTTTTAGGTGTACTGAGAAAGTTTCTCCTTATAGATTCGTAACAGCAAAAGATGATCCTATAGAGTCTCTTGGAACGAATTTCACAAAAACGAACTCCTGTTTGTATAATGGCGACATCTTTTCTGGTGGATATTTAAACAATAACATCAAGTGTGGTGAAAAAAGCAAGTGGTATTTCCCTCTACATACTATTCGCTGCTGTGTTCCTTTATCTCATTATCTTTCTGAGGCATGTAATATGAACAAGGATCAGTGCTTATGCTGTGCTCCGAAGTACTTGAATGGTTTGGAAACAAGTGCAGGAACTGTAGTTTTCAGCACCAAAATGGAACATACTCTGTGCGAGGGGTGAGTGCAGTTAATTTTTTTATCGATATTCGACTCATTTCTACATTTCTAATCTTCTGTTTGCTACTAATCCGGAAAACTGCTTAGAAATTCATAAGTTAATTTCTGTTTTCTGAAAAGATTTAAATTTGCAGCTATTCAGCCTTAAACACTGTATGATGTTGCTGTTTGTCAACACAAACTAGGATTACTTTTAAGGCACCTAATCTGTGTCCATTGAAAAGATATGTGTTCTTAATATGTGGTTCTTAGTTACATTCACAGACGACGCGAGATGCGTTTTTTGTACAGAAACGTAATTGATGGCTATTGGTTATCAAATTACATATTTTATATTCGTAATACTTCAGAACGGACTAGTTTTGCTGTTTTAAAAATTTTGGTATTATAGGTGTGCTAGAAATACAGTAATCAGAATTTTGTCCTTGGCCTACTACCTGGGCATATTAAATTTTGTTTGTCTAGCACAGTCTGTTAATTCTAGTGTTACCTCTATTAATCAACTGATTGTTCACTGTTCATGCATTTTCTGTTTTAGTGATTTTATTGTGGCCAAAGACTGTCAGTTATTTAACTGACTGGCATGCTTTCGATAGCTTTGCCTAGTGACAGTAAAGCGGGAACGATGACGGAATTTGACATCAAATTCATAAAAAGACACAGTAAATGTTACTGCTTCTGAAGTGATTTTTATTGCAAAAAACTATCATCAAATGAAACTGTGCTGGGAATGTTAAGAAATGTAAGCTGAATGTCAAGTTCATGAGCCTGAAATGGAAATACCTGTTGGAGGTATTCTAGGACCGTCCAATATAAAATAAAGCACTAAGGAATATTACCGGATACATTTTGGAAGACTTATATGGAGCAATCCTTCACATAGAAGAGAAAATTCTACTTGATGAGGTACTGGTGAAAGAAACTCCGTTATTGATAAAGGTTTATGAGCACAAAGCTCAATCCATTTTCTTCTATGCAGTTTCTATGTGTAAGGGATTGTGAAAGATGAGTTATCATTGAATGCATGCAATAACAGATAAGTAATTTACTAAACGCAATAAAACGAGAAACATATTTTAAAAATATTTTTATCTTTGGCAATCCTTTTTAATAGCATATTTGTTGTCCAAATAAAAATTCATGTTGGGTAGGAATAAAACGTATCCACTTTTCTTTCACTAGCGTAACAAAAATTTAGATTTAAAGCGAAATGTTTTAAACTGGTAGCGGGAAAATTTATCTTTCGGAAAAATGTGCGTGTGTGTTCTCGTATCTTATGGTTCTCAGTAAACTGTAGAATTTCGTATCAAGAAACAACGAATGCTCTGTGTTCGCGTTCCCAAATTCATTGTAAATGTGTATTTAAGTCATATCTCGGAAGTGAGACTTTCAAATCTGAGGTTTGACATGCCTATATAGTATTAAAAGCTGTATAGTATCTGAAAAGCAAAACTCCTTGGGATGGAGACATGTCAGAAATCCTGTAACCATTTTATTTTTTGATAGTAATAATTCGAATTCGTTATTAAATCTCTATTTGATTCTGTGTTGCGTAAATATAAATATTTCTTATACTGCACCAAACCGTTCTTTCACACTTTGTCCTTCCTAAAATTTAACTCTGATGCAGTTTATTAAATCAATTTGGTCATTACAGTAATTTTTAACATATGGCACAAATATAGATTTCTTTCCAAGAAGACTGTTCTTATAAAGCTGACTAATAAGCTTGTATTTCATTCTAGAGAATACGTTATCAGTCCAATCGTGCTAAAAGAATCAAGTCGTGAAGAATTTAGAAAAAGCCACATGAATGCCTTTGTAATATTTCCTTTAGTTTCATTTATAAGAGAACAAATCGCCGTTTCTTTTATTCCAGGTACCTTATTTAATATAGTTTTGTTTTTTCCATCTAGAAACTATGGAACGTACATTGGTTTGTTACAGAAAAGTGGCATCCCCGTTGTGGTTCGTCAGACAAAGATGAGGAATGAAATATCCGCAGACCCAAAGCAGATGACAGCATTACAACACCAGAATTTAGCAAAATTTTACGTAAGTAAACTTTTTATGAAAGTAATTTTGATACTTAAAATAATTTTAAAATAAACTTGTTTGCAGAATAAGTGCCATACAAGTTGGTAATGCATTAACCCTTTGCGGCACAGTGTGCCCAGTCTACACACACCTAAAAATTTCCTTCTGTACGCACAGAAAAATTGAATGAAAAAGGATTTATAGGTTACTCTGAACCTTTTTTATTTATAGTAGATGGCAGCTCAACACAAACCAGTCCATATATTTTAGCCATGTTTAGTTGTTTAAGACCCTCATTTTTCAAAGAAATCTTCCAGATTTATTTTAGGGTATAAAAGGAATTGTTTAAAGAGAAATTTTTGTTAGGTTTTGGCTGTATGTTAATCTCCTTATTGTATATTAGTTTTAAATTTTTAACCTTGAAATCTTGCCTAAAATCAAACGGCGATCCCTAGGTGTGCCCAGACCGGGCTCACCGATAATCTAGGACAACTGAGACTCTGTATTCTTTGTTTCTCCACATCTCATCGGTCAGTTCATTGACAACAATGCTCGTTTCAGCACTCTTTTCGAAGCTCTATTCAATCGGTGTGCTCACACCCACAGAATTAAGACGATAAGTGCTACCTTCACAAAATTTTACTTGTGTACTCCTCTATGCCTAATTATACTTCCTACCATTTTTTAATCAAAACTCCGACTTTAAAAGGTAGCGTGCCGGAAAGGGTTAATTACTTTACTGGGATTATAAGACGGTAAGTGAACAAACCTCTTTGCTTTGTTGCTGCACTTATCTCTCATGAATGGGTAAAGTACATTCATATTTAAGTTAAAAAAATAAGAATGATTGCTCATTTACCTGTACCCTAGCTTCGAAATCTGTTTCTACTTATTACAATTTGTATCTTTAAAGAACTGTGAATGGTTGTCCTCTAATAACTCGTTGACTACTATAGCTATCGCCACCAAACTTTCTACTCTTTTTTTTTCTGGGTCCTGGAAAAGGTCGACGTCATTCCCCCCCCCAAAAAAAAAGTAGCTAAAATCAGATATTGATTAAAAATTCGGAAAAACGATAATTTTCGCCCTCAGTTTTGCGAGTGGCAACAGTCTGGCAAGTTGAAGATGAAAATCTGATCTATTTTCGGAAGTTGTTGCCACTGATCGCTTTCAAATCGCAGTTTGTTAATAAAAATTTCCATCCAGAAACTATGGAAACTATTGAAGTTTTACAACGAATTAAAAATAGCACATCCAAACATTAAATATACTATTTCCGATATCAGACATTTGTAAAAAGCTCTTTCGACTGTTCTCATCTTTGTACGACTTTAATCAGCCCAGATATTAAAAACTCTGAACGCCCTTAATTTTCGCACTCATTTTTCCGAGCGGCAACAGTCTTGAGCGCTGGAGGTAAAGGTGCTTTTTTTCGACAAGTGATGCTACTGCTAGCTTTCAGATCGTATAGTTAGCTAAAAATTTAAGTTTTACAAAATTTATACATATAAAGAAGGTTTGTGTTTGTTCGCGTTATTGATTTCTGATCAATTACGATAAATTTTTGCCACATATATTCGACTAAAATTGAGTATAGGTGAAATATTGGATGTAACTTGAGCTTTTATGACCATTTGATTAGAAAGACTAAAATCATTTAAAACTGCATGCCATTGTTGCTGATATAATGAAAGAGAATTGGCTTATTTTTGTATCGAAATTTTCATGTGGGTTTCATATCGCATCAGACTTAAAAATGTATCACTGAATCATATTTTTTGCATCGTTGTTAGAGAAGGATTTGAAAGGTATCGTTCTCTCTATTGTTAGATGAATTACTCTTAATCTAACTTAACTGCCATCGGGTACTTCCGGTAGTATGAAATAAAGTAATTGAGCCTTAACATACTGGTTTTCTGAACATTGCATGATGTAGAGCGCGAGGGAAAATACTTTATTGCGAATTAAACTTCATTCAAAATTTCTCATCTTTACGAAAACCATAAAACTAGAATATTTTATATATACCAGTTATGCTTAAAGAGTACTAATGTTTGGTAATAAAAAACAGAACAAAACCTTTACTTTGAAAGTACATGTCTTAAAATATTTCAATTAAGTCGTATGGACAAAAAACATCTCCGCCCCCCCAAAAAAATATTTCCACGTTAATAGCTCATTGAAAGTCGCAGGACATGTACAACTCCATATGCTGTGGCGCTAAAGTTTGAGTCAGACCCAGATGGCTTCCGAGATAGGTATCTCCAGACTGATTAGCTAAGGATAATTTTTTTAGTTAAGTACTAGCCGATACTTGCACGCATTATTTCCAGGTTCAAATTATTTGGAAAACGTACTGTCGTTTTGGAATTCGCTGCTCTGACGTCATTTCAATCTATGAATCCATCCAGCCATTCAATTCATTTTTGAAAGAATCTAATTCTCTTCATTTACTTGACCCGCAATAATAATCATACGTAATGAATTTTATTTGCGGACTGCTTCAGATTACTGCTTACTGTAAGCTTATCTGTTTGCCTTCCCATGCTAAATCATCTCATACTACTGAAGAAAAAATATTTTCTTAATTTTATGCATATCACGCTCATTAATTTCATTGTCCAGAATATTTACTTTCTTATGAACTGTTATTCCAAATTTATTGCTGTTTATAAAATTTTTCCCTTTGTCATTCGTGAAGGCTTTAAAATATTTTCGTTTTGTCCTTAAAAAAACTTATTGGAAATGACTATAATAATTTCTTAATATTATTCTATCATAGTGGTTTTCAACCCTTTTTGCCCTAAGCAACCCTTTCGCTATTCCTGCCACCCCTTTTTTCAAAATTCAAAAAAAATATATACATTTATTTAAATTAAGATTATTTTTAATGTTTATTAAATTGAAGTATAGAAAATGTTCGTAAATACCAAAACTTGAAATAACTAGTTTTTATATTCGCAAACGGAATCCGTAACGGGTATATAACAGATTAACCGCATTTCACCCCTGAAACTATGAAATATTTCCCGTAGAACTCCTCTCCTATCTGTTTCAAATTTAGTCATTCTCCAGAAGTTCAATTTTCCGATCATTTTTCTCATGTATCATTAAAATTTGTTATTGAAATCCTGAAGATCCCATCTAATTTTGATTGTGCCGGTATATGTCAACCACACTGAAGAGATGTAAATAACCTAAAATATTGCTTCAAGGTATAGGAATCCTAAGTTTAAAATAAAGAAATAAACAAATCTTAAGACAGCTAATCACAAATGGACATATAATCTCAATTTTGACTAAGACCGAGAAAAATGTAAGGCTTCTTTAGTTGATGATTTTGGATTTCCTTAAATGTTTTCACATATCTCAAAAAATTATGATCGTTATGGACGTTAATTCCAGTTCCATTTTTTACAAACGCTTTCAGAATTCTAATGTTTTTCACGTTTTCCTATTTTTTCGACAGTTGATACGTTCGTTTTCGCTATGCTCCGTCCATTGCTTTCGATACAAAATGGTTGTCGCTTTGAGTTACACAAAAACATTTTTGCTCATGAAGGAAAGAGACCTGTATCTATTTGCGTTTTTCGAAATCTATAATTTCATTCAAAATTTAAGCCAAAATAAGGACTGATATCTTGCTTACGCACTATACTATTAGTCTTAAGTCTCCGAATTTAAGAGCATGTCCCTTTTTGCATCATTTATCTTTATTTTGGTTTTTCGTATGTTATCCAATTTTCATTTTATACACATCTTCATTTGTTAATCGTTTGCTTTGTTTATTTTTTGAGCTTATAAGTAAGTTTATAGGCTCAAGCCGAGCGATAAAGTCTCTGAATATTAGTAGTTTGGTCTGGAAATCGGATCCTGGCGAATGAGCTGCCTGCTTGGGCGTTTTCACGGTTGACCCTATGTGTAATGCGTCTATGAGCCAGTTTCCTCTAGAAAGTCCTCCATGAAAATATCCTTCCCTTTAGGTAGATAACCCTCGAGTGTTTTACTATAACTAAATAAATGAATAAACCAAACTCCATAAGCTCTTCATTTCTTTCAATTTACTACTTTGAATGATATCTAGAGAGATCTGAAGTACAGCTTATGTTATATCGGCAATTTTTTTTTTTTTGGGGAGGACTTTGATTCCTTTCATGATATATTTCTGATTCCTTTCATGATAGCTTTAGGGTTTTGTGGATTTTGCCATGAAATCCATGAAATTTTGTCAGTTATATTCAGACAACTCTCTTTCTGAATTTACGTCATTTAGGCACGTGACTTTAATTGAGTAATAGTAACATTAAAATTAATAAATTCTCTCAGCCAGAGATATTCATGTTTTTTTCACCTTCTTAAATAACTTGAATAGTATTTTTGGAGGTTTCGAAGTGTTCTTCAAATAGGCTGAGCAGATGAATCTTTTTCCAAATTTTTAAAAGGACTTGTGCTTTTTACGAGTATATTGCGAGCATTCCAAACGATCCTCATAATTGCTGCATTCTAAATTAAATATTTAGAGCGTTCTATATCTGGTCATTCCATGCGCAGATACTTTTCTGATTTGATTTGGTTTATTTAATTATAGCAATGCGTTCCAGGGTTATCTGCCTAAGAAGACGGATGCCTTCGTGGAGAATTTTCTAAGGTAAGTTAGCTCGCATACACCTTGAAAAGGAAAAGCTACGCAAACTCCCAGGAAGCTCGCTGGAATTCGGACCAATACCGAACTACTAGTGTTTTCTAGACTCCTTTTGAAGGGAAATAGAGTAAATTTTGAAGGTTTTCCTTGGACAATGACAATGAACGCATAGTTTGAGGCATCAGTATCGGACATCTACTGTAAAATGCTGTACATCTTTATCTAATATCTATATAATTCTTTTAATTTTCTACGTAAAGAAAGAAAATGGCAAGAGAGGAGTCGCTTTTTTTGAAAACTTCGCATTACTTTTAATACCTCTAAGAATAGTTCATTGTTATTTTAAAAATTAAAATATGAAATCTTAAAAATATTTCATATTTTAAAAATTAAAATATGAAATCTTAAAAATATTTCATCTTTTAAAAATTAAAATATGAAATCTTAAAAATATTTCGATTTTTAAGTTAATATATCTGCTGCTGCTTATTCATGGAAATAAATCTCTACTGCAGAATAACATTATAACTCAACTCGTATAATATAAATTTTAAATTCTGTCGTTTGTTTCTATATTCCTATAAAAGTAATACGTAGCGTTTTGAAAAACTTTATAGATGAGAGCCTGTAGTGTATTACCATCATGTATACATATGAAAGCCAAATTTCAAGAAATTTGATTCAAAATTTTAGCAAAATTAAAGATTCTAAATGAAAATGTAGCAAAAAGTAAACATATATACGCTTTCTCAGTCCATTATTACTTAAGCAGTTTGATAAAGCAAACAAATTTAAATGTTTCGAAAAGCTTTTTTGTCATTTTTGATTGAACTGGCTAGTTGCATAAGGTTTTCTCTTAATTATCAAACATGAGCCTTTAGTCTTGAATCGAAACAATCCATCTACTAGATGTCCCTTCATAGAATTAAGTAACTAGCATATCTTTTACAAAAGCAGTTTATAGGATTCCTTTTTCTATGAATGTCATTTATTGTAACCATAGAAAATTTACCAAAAATGATTCCGTGTGTCTTAACAAAATTGTTCTAAAACTCTTTCTTGTTTCGAAACCTATTTGTAAAACTTGTAGTATTTCGACAAACACTTTTATGGCAATAAAACAGATATTTTTCTTTTCTGCACAGGCTGTGTGTGCTGATTACAAAGTTGGAAGGTTTCATTTTGTGACAGAACTTTGTGAGATGAATTTGACAGAGTACTTGAAACAAGCATCCCGATGCCGTCATCCGCAGCAAGCACCTTTCAATGCAAAACTCATTGTACTTCATATTATCCGAGCTATTCGATTCCTTCATGAAAATGACATCATTCACGGTTATTTAAAGGTAAATACTTTTTCATAATGTACAGTAGAAATCAAAGTGATTGGTTCGCTTGTTTTCTTTTCGAAGAAGATTAAGTCTGCTTCGGCCTTTATTTTTGTTCTTAAATAATGTAGAATATTTTTCAAAACACCGCTATACTTAGGTAAATGTAAATGGATAACGGTTTACAAAGTTCAGCAAAGAAAGGCAATTACATACTACAAATTGGTGTACACTTTTCTTCTTGGTAAGCAGTAATCTTATCTTACGCATTTTTCTAAAAAAATATACAACACAGCGAAGTTACCTAAATTACTTCTCCATGTAATGAATTTGTATCACAACGTGCAGAGTAAAGTAGAAGATAAGCCCTTATCTATTAGTCTTCTAACATACACTGCGTTGTGTTTCGGGGTGATTCCTTTCATACAGATAGTTGTATTTTTCTGTCGTATGAAATATTTAACTCATTTTATACATTATTAACAATAGCGTCTTGAATATTACTGAAAACGTTTGTAGAAATTTCCTATTTTATTGTACAAGTTTTGTGATGTAAATAAAGTGCAGGTAGACACTTTCACTTGCATTACGTAAATATGCATTTGACCTATGAAGACAATGAAATCTGACTGCCTGAAATTTTCAGATACCGGGATTAATACGGGATTCTGCGCATGCTTGCATTCATGTTGTGTGGTGTTTGGTGAGCTTGCTATTAAAACGCTTATATCTTGGTTAATTTGTGAGATTGGTGAACGAAAGTGCTTTGTGATCTATATGTGTTCCGGTTTGTGTTTTAGTGATTATTTGAATTTGAAGCTTTATTTAGCAAGATGTGAAGATTTTAAAGTTTGAAGTTGGATTGCTACCCCATTTGCATACGATAATCACTTTTTGGTCTATATCTTTATATACATATTGTGCAAATTACTTTTGATAATTGATTTTGACTCTTCATAGCTTATTTTATCTGTATGTTTAAAAGCATACTGTTTGGATGCATATTTTATTAGATATTTGAGCTTAAACGTTTTGAGTGTAGCTAGGCCTAACGAGGCGGATATTTGATGATAGGTGAACATCTTAGTGTTGAAGTAACCCAAGTCATTTGGTGCACCGGTTGTATGTGTTTTTCTACACGCCGAAGGTGGATGTTTGATATCATTTGGTGCGCCAAAATTTTCATCTTTTAGCCCGCTGGATAAATTGTTCAATTTTCCAGATAAAATTGTGGGAAAAACTTTGAAAATTATTTTAAGCTTTTTTAAGACTATTTAGCTGGCTTATTTTGTGATATTGCGTTTATTTCATTTTATAGAAAGTTTTTGAGGTGGCTTTTAATTTTATTTTGCTGGTATTGTGCAGAACTTTTGTAAATACCTATTCTAACTGTTCTTATTGAATTTTAAGATATTTTACTGTAAATATTTTGTGTTCTTATGAGTAATTATTTGTATGAAAACAGACCGCATGTATTGATATTTTAATGTATTTTGGATAATTTTGTAAGTGTTATAACTCTGGTATATTTGGTGAATTGTTTTGGAAGGAATTTTGTATGTTAAAGAATTGATACCGTTGTAGGATGCATGAGTCGGTCTGTTCCTAGTTTTGTTGGTGCTCATCCTCGAGAAGAGGATGTATCAGAAATTGTTATAGATGGAGCCAATGATATTATGACTATTGTGCGAGAGTTACATGGAATAGTGGATAAAATTAGAAGTCAAAAGAAGATCGCGGTTACGTTGCCTGATAGACTTACTGCCGGGTTAGACAGGATTCTTTTGCTTGCATCTGCTCAGGCGGTTCATTTAGTCGAGGCTGATGCTCTTCGTAATAACAGACAAGAACTTAAGTACGTTAGAGAGGAAATTGCTGATCTTAAAGATATGATTGTGAAAAGATCTTGCTGTAATAGAAATAATGTTGTCCCTGATCGTGTTACGGAACCGATTGCGAAAGTTGATGGTCTGGATGAAATTATTTTAAAACCAATTGATGAAAACATTGATGCCTTCAACGAAATTAGCAGTATGATTAGACCGGAAGATCTTAAAATCAAGATTAAAAAGTCTATCAGGAGAGAAAATGGTGATTTTTTACTTAAATTGGGTAGTCGTGAAGAGGTGCAGAGACTTGAGTGTGCTATTGAGAAAAAAGAGAGTCTTAGAAAATTTATTAAGCCGAGACGTAGACGTTTTATTAAACCACGTGTAATTGTTTATGGTGTTGGCTCTTCGGTAACGAATGAAAGTATAATAGATGCTTTTAAACGCGATTGTAATTGTAATAATGAATGTGTTAAGTCTTTATTTGATATTCCTGTTAAAGGATCTAAGGGATCTTCACATAGAGTTTTCTCCATCAATTCGTTGTGTCAGGGAGAATTTTTGGAGGAACAGAGACTTTCTTTGGGTTGGAAATCGTACTCAGTGAAATTATTTTTGCGACCTAGACAATGTTCTTTGTGTTTATCCTATGGTCATTCAAGAAAGTTTTGTAACTCGAAAGTATGCTGTGCAATATGCACTGGAAATCATTTAGCAGCTTCTTGTGATAGAAAGAGTGAGGGATTCAAATGTATTAACTGTTTCTTCTTGTAATAAAAAATTTGGTTTAGATCTTAATGTCTCGCATCATGCAATGGATAAAAACTGTCCAACATATATCAGAGAAGTGAACTTTATTAAGAATCATTTGGATATTGATTATAGTAATTGTATTTGATTTTAAATTGTTTTTAACTTGGATCTATGTGTTTTTTGTAAATAGGCTTATTTTATCTTGTGATTTGCGGTTCTGTTTTTCTTTGTGTGTCTTATCTGTTGCTTTTAATATTTATAGTTTTTATACTGAAATTGTTTATTGAAGTATTTATCTTAATGCATGTGATTAGTATTAATTTGAATCATTGTGCCATCGCTGCTGCCCAGCTCTCTGTTATCCAGGAAGTTGTGGGAGTCTTGCCTGATGTCATCTTGCTGCAGGAGCCATATTTAATTAGGGGTAGAGTGGCCTATGTTAATAAAAAGAGTCGTTGCTTGTTATGGGGGAAGGACTGCCATTATTGTCGTCAATCAAGATATAGATTTTGTTGTAGATTTCGAGACTGACGTTGTTACCAGTATTTCTGCTGTGCTGGGTGATCAAGAATATGGATTGGGTATGGTATTTATTTCTCTCCAGCTGAAGATATTTCTATTAATTTGTATAAATTGGAAAATGTTTTAGATACTTATGATAAATTTTTAGTTTTGGTGATTTTAATTGTAAGCATTTTAGTTGGGGGGCTGGTTATACAGATGCACGTGGGATTTTATTATTTGATTTTATTACATCTAAGAATTTGGTGCTTTTTAATATTCAAGATTTTACCCCAACTTTTTCATCTTCAGTTGGACAGGGTTGGACCGACCTTGTGTTAGGTTCAAGATCATTGGATATTAATGATTATAAGTATGAGGTTTGTCAAGAAGAATCTCTCAGCGACCACAGATATATTCTCTTTGACATGGAAGGTGTTTGTCTCCAGCATGGGAGTGGAAACTTTATAAGTAGAAGTGTTCCTAAAGTTTACAAATTGTGTAAAAAAGTAAATGTTGTCATTGAGGATTTTATTCAGAAAATAAGAAATGCTGGGTGTTACGAAGAAATTGATTGTATAGTCTCTGAAATTGAGACTTATTTGGTTAAAAAGATTGTTACTAAATTAAGGGTTAAAAGAAAAGTTGGTAATAAAATTATTTGGTGGAACGTTGGTCTTGAAAGACAAAAGAGAAGAGTACGGGCTTTTAGGAAGAGTTTTCAGGTAAAGAATATTGATGATGTTACTAGATTAAGAAGGAAAATTAGATATAAGAAAGAACTAGCTATTTATAAACGTTCTATTAGAGAAGCAAGAAAGAATAGTAAGATTAAATATTTTTTGGATTGTGTGAATCATTTTGATGGTTTCTATAAGACTGCAGCTGGAAAGAGTAGACATAAAGTTATTGTCAAGAGACCGGAGGGCGTTGCTGGAAATTTTGAAGAAGTGAATAAAGCTCATGCTAAAGTTTATTTTGATTTAGATTATGATTTTTTGTTTGATATTTCGAATATTGATGATTCCAAGTTAAAAGATGATGATTTTTGTTTTACTCGTGATGAAATTGCTGGAGTGATTCGACGTCTTAGAGACAAAGCTGCACCTGGAATTGACGGCATTCATTCTGTGATTGTTAAGACTTTATTTGATTTATATCCTGATTTTTTAATACTTTGTATAATGCATGTTTAAAATATGCCATATTTCCAGGCACATGGAAGATAAGTAAAATCATATTGATTCCTAAGACCGAAGGAAAATCAAGGCCAATTGCTTTATTAAAGATATTTGGAAAGGTTCTTGATAAATTGATAACTAATAGGATGATGCATTATATTTTTAAATATAATCCTTTCCATGATAGTCAATATGGTTTTGTTCCTGGTCGAAGTACCGATGATGCTCTTTTTCGAGTTATCTCATATATTAGAGAACATAGGGTTAACCAGCACGTTCTTCTTGTCTCTTTTGACATCGCTTCTGCATTTGATAACGTGGATTGGGTCTCTTTATTGGGGACTCTTCAAGATTTGTATATACCCAGAAATATTTTTTATTTGATTTTGGATTATTTTAAGAGTAGAAGAGTGTATTTTAATTGCTTTTCGGAAAGTAAATATGGGTCCACTTTTAAAATTGGTAAAGGCTGCCCGCAGGGTTCCTGCAGCGCTCCTCTGTTCTGGAACGTGATTATGAATAAATTGCTTCAATGTGAATTTTCTGGCAATGTGGAACTTGTTGCTTATGCTGACGACGTCGTTGCATTGTTTAGGGGGGGACTCACTTGAAAAACTGGAAAAATTGTTTGATGAGACCTGTGCAATTTTTGATAATTGGAGTAATGGGTGAAAAATTGAATTTTAATATGGATAAGACACAAGGCTATGTTTTTCCCGAGGGGAGGACGTGTGGTGAGACCTCCTCGAATTCG